GACGGAGTAGAACTGCCCCATGTACGTAGTGTATACATAGCAGCCAACTCACAGCGACCCCCCAGGACGGAGTAGAACTGCCCCACGTATGTAGCATATACATAGCAGCCATGAAACAAAACAGAATGTTGAAACACACCAACATCAGAGGATGAAAATAGCTCTTTAAAGCACTAGGATAGCTGAAATTAAAAATTCAGGAGAGTTGGAAGATAAAGAGGAGATTATCGCCCATAAAAACAATTAAGGAACCAAAAAGACAAAAGAACTGGAATATCAGAAAGATTAGAAAATGACAGGATCTGCCAAGAGGTTTAATTTCAAACTGGTAAGTTCCAGAAAAAAGAGAACAGAGAAAATGGGGAAGAGGAAATTGTCAAAGAAACAATATAAAAAAATTACACAGAACGTTTAGATGTGAACTTTCATACTGAAAGGACCCTCAAGTGCCTAATACAAGAAAGGAAAAACTGCTGATAGCAAGGCTCATTGTTGTGAAATTTTCAAATACCCAGGATAAAGAGATCATAAAAGCTTTCAGGGGGGGGAGAAAAGATTGCATACAAAAGGAGTAACAATCGGAATGTAAAACTGAGACTTGGGAAGGATAAGACAGCGACTTTAGTATTATCTGACAAGAGATTTTTATAAAAAACCAAGCAATAATAATATAAGCAAATAAATAATTTACTAAGGAGCTCTGGTGGCACAGAGGTTAAGTGGTCAGCTGCTAACTGAAAGGTCGGTGGTTCGAACCCATCAGCCACTCCGTGGGAGAAAGATGTGGCAGTCTGCTTCTGTAAAGATTTACAGCCTTGGAAACCCTATGGGGTAGTTCTACTCTATCCTATAGGGTTGCTATGAGTTGGAATGGACTTGACAGCAATGGCTTTAAATAAAATAAACCTAAAATCTACTGAATGCTGCCTACATGTCAGGAGTACTGTTATGGATTGAACTGTGTCCCCGGAAAAGCTGCTCAAGTCCTAACCCCTGTGAACATGACCTTGGCTGAAACAGGCTCTTTGAAGATGTTATCCGTTAGCATGAGGTCTTGTGAAGTAGAGCGAGTCCTAATCTAATCTGAGTGACATCCTTACAAGGAGAAGAGACAGACAAAGAGGCGAGAACTATGCTGCAGCTCCAAGTCAACACACGGGGCTACCAGAAGTTGGAAGAGGCCAGGAAGGAAGGGTCTTCCCCTAGAGCCTGCGGAGAGATCACGGCCCTGCCAACACGCTGAATTTGGACTACCAGCCAATAAATTTACGTTGTTCAAAGCCACCCAGTTCGTGGCATTTTGTTATGCTAGCCCTAGGATGTCAATAAAGGTGCTCCTCTGTTTTAAATGTATTAACTCATTTAAATCCCAGAACTTCCTATGAGGAAGGCATCATCAGCCCCACTTCCCAAATGAAGAAACAGGCAGCGAGAGGTTCTGGGAAATGCTCCAGATACTGTCTCTCATCTTCAAAAGTAAAATTGATTTTAAAAAAGAAGAAAATAAAATACTATTTTAATGTTTCCTATCTTGCTAATCTGCTCCCCGATCAACTCTGGTTGATCTGGACACACGTCTGATGCTATTCTCCTTCCTAAGCCATGCAAATGGTTGACACACTGGACTTCAAGTCCACCCAGGGGCAGCTGGGGGAAAAGGTCTAGCCATCTATTGCTGAAAAATCTGCCACTAAAAACCTTACGGAGCACACAGTTCTACTCTGACACACATGGGATCGCCATGAATCGAAATCCACTTGACAGCAATGGGTTTTAAGCCACAAAAGTGTGTGTATGGGGGGTGGGAAGGATAAAGGCCGGGGGCAGTAAGTAGTATTTTAAGTATACATTGTATAAAAGTGGAGCTCAGGCTGCTAACCCAAAAGCTGGCAGTTCGAAACCACCAGCTGCTCCTTGGAAACCCCATGGGGCAGTTCTACTCTGTCCTACAGGGTCTCTATGAGTTGGAATTGACTTGACGGCAGCTGGTTTGGTTTGTTTTGGTTTGGTATAAAAGTACTTTACGCTCCGTGCTTGTGATTTGCAGCTAGAAGGTCCATAACGTAGATTCTCTGACCTAAACGCACTGACAACCTCCACCTAGAGAAATTTATCCACTTTGACAGGATCACCACTGTATATCTGGGAAAGAAGACACGCTAAATAAACTTCATGAAAATTTCAAAACAAAATAGCTGTCTCTCTTCTATATATTACGTTCATCTAAATTTTTCACACTCGTCTAACCTCTCAAGGGAGCAGGAGGTGGAGATCCGTTTTGAACAGATTTTTTTCTGTTCCAAGTGACATGTTCAATCATTCTGACCTACGACAAGGAGACGACAGAGTTTTGGCATTTCCTATCTTGGGACACTTTTGCAACCTCAAATCACTGTTTCCAAACTCATTCTACTGCACTGGGCCTCCTAGACTATTTGCTGTCTCCTGCTCAGCCTGGGGGGTTTCTTTCTCTCGCTTATGCAACCCTCTTCGCTTTCTGCTCATCAAGCCCTGGACATTCTTCTGAGAGTCAGATTTTTGTTTGTTTAGGATTTTGTTGCTGGTGGTTTGGTTTGGTTTAAAGGTGGTGCCTGCAGCGACCCTCAAAGTCCTGACGCATCAATGACAGCACCACCTATAGCTTCTCCAACACCTGGGTACACGAACCCGGTGCTGCCAGGCGCACAAGGTCCCGCTCACAGGGGCTCCCCACCCGCCGCCGCAGAGCGCACACTGCGACCACGGCCGGTCCCACGGTGACCCTGCGCGGATGTCACACAACCACCATTCCCCCCGCGCTCAGGTGGGGCACCAGGCGCCGTCCCCTCGGGCGTCACCTGCGGCCGGCCCGGTGCGCGCACGCGCTCACGCACATACCGTCTCCTTGGCAGCCGCGACCGGCATGGGGAGCAGCCCCCGGGCGCGGGTCGGGTCGTCGGGCGCTCCCGCCGGGCTCTCAGAGGGGCGTCCCGGCGCCGGCTCGGCCCGGGGGTCCCCGTACAGCTGGTAGCACACGAGGCCCACCAGCCCCCCGCCGGCCGCCGCCGCGATGCTCAGCTCGCCCCAGCGCCGCCGCCGCCGCCTCCACGCCGCCTCAGCCACGGCCCCCTCGTCCTCCTTCCGGCAGGAGAAGGGCCGGCCTGTGGGGCTCGGTGCTATCCCCGCAGGCAGCCCCCAAGGCCCAGGAAGGGGCTGGTGAGGCGAGAGCGGAGGTAGGAGCCGGGGCGGCGGCCACAGAAGCCTCCGCAGCGCAGCCATAGCGGGAGCCACGGGGACGGGGGGGACGCCGAAACCTCGCGAGAAGTCGCTGCGGGAGCCTCGCGACCGTGCGAGAGCGATCCTTGCAGACGCACGGCCTCCCGTGGCGCGGCGGTCTCCGCCTGCGCGCTGGGGTTCTGGGGCGGCCTCCCACCGCTCCGCCGCCCGCAACCCAGTCATAAATAACGGCTCTTGCAGCCGGAGGCACCTGACTGTGCGGGAACCCGACACCGCCGGGGTCGCCGAGTCGGCAGAACTCCCGCGCCGTCCGCTTGGCCGCCCCACGCCTTCGCTGGGCAGGGCCCCTCGCGCCGTTCGGCGTCTCTGCAGTAAAGTCACCTCACCTGAGCGCAGCCTGCTCGTCTGACACAGGCCGTTAATAATTTTTTTTAATTGTTGTAGTTTAAATGAAGTTTACATTTCAGGTTAGTCTCCCATACAAAAATTTATACGTACATTGTTATGTGACCCTAATTGCCCTCCCCATGCTGTGACGGCACACTCCTCTCCACCCCCAATTCCCCATGTCCATTCAATCAGCTCCTGACCCTCTCTGCCTTCCCATCTCACCTGTGGAGAGAAGCTGCCCGTTTAGTGTCTTGTATCTACTTGAGCTAAGAGGCACACTCCTCACAGTATCACTTTATGTCCCACAGTCCAGTCCAATCCTGTCTGAAGAGTTGGCCTCGGAAATTGTTTTAGTTCTGGGCTGATAGAGAATCCAGGGTACATGATTTCCAGGGTTCCTCCAGTCTCAATCAGACCATTAAGTCAGGTCTTCTCACTAGAATTGGAGTTCTGCACCCCACCTTTCTTCCGCTCCATCAGGGACTCTGTTGTGTTCCCTGTCAGGGCGGTCATTGGTGGTAGCCGGGAACCATTTAGTTCTGGTCTCAGGCTGATGAAGTCTCTGGTTTATGTGGCCCTTTCTGTCTCTTGGGCTAATACTTTCCTTGTGTCTTTGGTGTTCTTCATTCTCCTTTACTCCAGGTGGTTGGGACCAATTGATGCATCTTAGATGGCTGCTTGCAAGCTTTTAAGACCTGAGACGCCACTCACCAAAGTAGGATGCAGGACGTTTTCTTAAAGCTTTGTTATGCTAATTGACGTAGATGTCCCCTGAAAGCATGGTCCCCAGACCCCTACCCCTGCTACTCTGTCCCTCAAAGTGTTTGTATTCAGGAAATTTCTTACCTTTGGTTTAGTCCAGTTGTGCTGACTTCCCCTGTAGTGTGTGCTGTCCTTCCCTTGACCTAAGACAATTCTTATCTACTATCTAGTTAGTGAATAACCCTCACCCTCCCTCCCCACCCTCGTAACCATCAAGGAATGTTGTCTTCTGTGTTTAAACCTTTTCTTGAGTTCTTATAATAGTGGTCTTATACAATATTTGTCCTTCTGTGACTGACTAAATTCACTCAGAATAATGCCCTCCAGATTCCTCCACATTATAAGATGCTTCACAGCTTCATCGTTGTTCTTTATCGTTGCGTAGTATTCCACTGTGTGGATATACCATAATTTGTTTATCCATGCGTCCGTTGATGGGCACCTAGGTTGTTTCCATCTTTTTGCTATTGTGAACAGTGCTGCAGTGAACATGGGTGTGCATATATCTATTCGTGTGACGGATATATTTAAAAGAGCAGGATAGCTGGATCGTATGGCACTTCTATTTCCAGCTTTTTAAGGAAGCGCCAAATTGATTTCCAAAGTGGTTGTACCATTTTACATTTCCACCAACAGTGTATAAGTGTTCCAGTCTCTCCACAACCTCTCCAGCATTTATTATTTTGTGTTTTTTGGATCAATGCTAGCCTTGTGGGGTGAGATGGTACCTCATTGTAGTTTTATCTGCATTTCTCTAATGGCTAATGATTGTGAGCATTTCTTCATGTGTCTGTTAGCCGCCTGAATATCTTCTTTGGCGAAGTGCCCAAATAGGCTGCTTGTATGAACTAGTTTGATTATTGGCACCCTTGAAACTCTAAAGTCCTGTCACCAGGTGGTTAGATCTGTTACTAGATATGTCTGCTCAGGAGTCCACCCACTTCTCCTGTATGGATTCAGATGAGGTGCCCAGGTAGATAGGCACCAAGTGTGTGGTATAGGCTCTCACCTACAGTCCTAGACAGGCATGAGTGATTGGTGTAGGCACAGGCATCTGGTTGCAGCAGGGGGACACACTCTGAACAAGGCAGGGGGCTGATGGCCACCCCCAAGTGTCCAGGAGGAAGGTGTGTCCCCGTTCCCTAGAGTGCGTAGGTGGGTGGGTTTTGCAACCAGACTGTGAGCACCAGTGCTTTTGGCTGTAAGGACTGGGGGGCATCTCTTATTCTCGGGCCCCTATCATCTAGTTCTTCTGGGCTCAGTCTGGTGGAGGCTGTGGTAGTTGTGCTCCATTAGTCTTTTGGACTAATCTTTCCCTTGTGTCTTTGGTTTTCTTCATTCTCCCTTGCTTCAGTAGTCTGGTAAATTTTTAAAACATTTTTAAGTTTTATTTTTTTTGGGCGGAGGTGTTTAGTAAAAACTTTTTGTCAAAAGAAATCTTACATGAAGCCCCAAAATATGAAGCAGATATCAGCAGAGCATCTCTCGTTGACAAGAGGAGGGACCCTGAGCCTGTCCCCTTAGAGCTGCCTGTTTACCTCCCATAGTGCCGCATGAAGCACCTGCCTGGAATCTCAGGGCTTAAAAACTGCTAACCGTCTAGGATCTTAAAAGCCTGTGAGCAGCCATCTAAGATACTCTACTGGTCTCACCCCTTTGGGAGCAAGGGAGAATGAAAACAAGATACAAGGGAAAGATTAGTCCAAAGGACTAATGGACCACAACTACCAAGGCCTCCACCAGACTGAGTCCAGTACAACTAGATGGTGCCCGGCTACCACCACTGACTGCTCTGACAGGGATCACAATAGAGGGTCCTGGTCAGAGCTGGAGAAAAATGTAGAACAAAATTCTAACTCACAAAAAAAGACCAGACTTACTGGCCTGACAGAGACTGGAGAAACCCCGAGAGTATGGCCCCCAGACACCCTCTCAGTAATGAAGTCACTCCCAAGGTTCACCATTCAACCAAAAGATTAGACAGGCCCATAAAACAAAACAAGATTAATGGGGCACAACAGCCCAGGGACAAGGATTAGAAGGCAGGAGGGGACAGGAAAGCTGGTAATAGAGAACCCGAGGTCGAGAAGGGAGAGTGTTGACATGTCGTGGGGTTGTTAACCAATGTCATAGAACAACACGTGTACTAACTGCTTAATGATAAACTATAAACCTTCATCTAAAGTACAACTTAAAAAAAAGTAAAAAAAATCCATATTAAATGACCTGATAATTTTCAGAAAAGACTGAAAAAAAACCCTCTGGCAGATATAATCAGTAATAAACACTTTAAAAAAAAAAAACTGCTAAAGTGTACATGCCTTTAATTTTTGTTGATGAGGAAACTGAGATACTCACAGGTTAAATAATTTTCTCTGGATCATGCGACTAGAACTTGAACCTAAATATGCTGCCCCATATCTAGAAGTTCCTATGGTGGACTCATCAGAAACAGAGAAAATTTAAAACAGTCTTTCTCAAGGCACGTTAATTTGCAAAGAGTAGACTTGTAATCCCATTTGTTCAAATGACAGATATATTTCAAGGGTAAAATCATTCGGAATCCAGGGAAAAGCAGTGCTATGACGTCTTCCGGAGTATAAACAGGTCCACTCCAGGGACCTATGGAGTAAGACTTCAAGGACATTTATTGTAACATTCTGCTGTGAACGTGACTTGGCTACTCCTTCCTTCAGTCTTGGTGAATGTTCAAATTTTAAAGAGAAAGGACTACTTTGGTCTGCCCTGTGGACATTCTCTTTGTTAGTTTTTCACTCCCCGGCCCATCAGCTGTGCCTGCGAGGAACGGGGTGGAATCTTGTGGTAGAGAGGTTTCTGGGGAGCAGGGGGAACCGTTTCTCGTAGAAGGGCCTGGGAGGATATGCCAGTGGTGTGCTGGACAGAAGAGACGTCAGTCCTGATTCCATTTTAGCGTCTGAAGATTTCCATGGTATAAATGTTCCCACCCGGGCAGGCTTCAAGCTACCAACGTGGCATTACTGACCACTGAGTTCAGAAGAGATATGCAGTAGCACATCATTACATAGAGTCTCCACCATTAACATACACAAGACACAATAGGTAGATAGGAGTAAAATAATTGGGAAGTGACGATATTTTTGAGCCCTAGTGGCGCAGTGGTTAAAGAGCTTGGCTGCTGAGCGGCTCACCAAAAGTTGGTGGTTCGAACCCACCAGCTGGTCTGCGGGACAAAGATGTAGGAAAAAGAGATAATTGGGAAGTGATGATATTTTAGTACTTTCTACCTTTGTATTAAATTTATATTAAATTTAAATTTTATATAATTTAAGCAAATTTTAGTAAGTTTATATAATTTAATTTTTAATCATGTTCCTGTGCATTGGTCTTCTAGGTCTGCCAAAACAAATTACCACAAACTGGGGGGCTTAAACCAACAGAAATTGATCTTCTCACAGTTCTGGAGGCTAGAAGTCCGAATTCCAGATGTTGGCAGGTCCACGCCCCCTTGGAAGCTTGTCGGGGACGATCCTTCCTTGCCTCCCCCAGTTTCTGGTAGCCCCAGGCTTTCCTTGGCTCGTGGCAGGAAGCGCCAGTCTCTGCCTGTTTTCATACAGCCGTCTTTCCTGTACACCTCTGTGTGTCTGTGTTTCTCTTCTTATAAGGGCACCAGTCGTGCTGGGTTAGGGCCCACTGTACGTCACTATCACCTCGTGTTACCCACTGTCATTTCACCTGCACAGATCCTCTTTTCAAATAAGGTCACATGCATAGTTACTGGGGGTTAGGACTTCAACATATCTGGGGGACACAACTCAACCTATCATACTCTGTTTAACCACTGGCTCACAGAATTTCTGAAAATGTAACCATCACCTCTAGTGAGCTAGTGCAAGCTGGCTCTAGCCCCC